AGTTTTCCGCAATTTCAATCAAACACTTCTTCGAAAAATATGTTTATCGATTCAGAGTATTTTTAATGACTTACGATACGAGAAATACGTTTTTATCTTTTAATTTCGTTCAATTTCACCTAGATATAAGTCTCACACCCTTAATTTCTTTATTTTCTATCGGCCATATTGTTCTATTTGAACTTTTTGAAGGTTCTCATTTTGCACCTCTTCATGCAGTTTATCACGAATAAGCTGTATCGTATATCCTTAAGATATTCTCGTAAAAAAGACTGCTTACATCGAAGGAAACCATCATGTAATCTTACGTATAGTGTGTGAGAAACATAATCTCCTCAACTAAATGGCACGTGTTTGTGATAAAAAAAGATCATATAATTTACGGGGCTACTACTTTTGCTAAAGCATAACTGAATGGTTTTATTGCTAATAGAATCCGTCGTGAAAGTGATCGCTTTTTATGCGTCTTTGGAAGACTATAGAATCTAGCCGGACGAGAACTGCAAGCAACAACTTTGGTCGTTTTCTCCTACAGTAAGAAAACCTATTTTGTGAAGCTTTGATTGAAGTCAAGATAATTGATTTTCCTTGAAAAAAATAGACGAATCTGATTCGAGTTTTTGCAAAGGTCGATGTATCATAAACTAACTGTTCCATTTTGAAGTCATAGTCCGTTCAATCAAGAAGAACGACAGCTCTGTCTTTGTCAGGTATTATTATCACAATCGAGTTGGCAAAACTCTTTACTCGTATGCCCATCTTTAGAACGTGTTCGTTCTATCGATGGGCGTACGATCGATCCCGTACTCGAATGATTCTGGTTTACATCGTGTACCCATGTGAATATTTTCGAGTCGGAAACGCGTCTGAAAACGCGTTTTCTTCTGCGTTTAATCGCTGCAAATATGCACCATTTGACGCTATCTAGACGCGTCATATAGTGATGCGTTTGACCGCGTTTTTTTAAAATTAATTCTTTTGTGCAAAAAGGTTTGTTTTTGTTCAACTAAAATTCCTATACCGTTCAGGGTCTTATAACTAGCTACTGGAAACAAAGAGGAGGAGAGAAGAGCTTAACTGACATGAAAGAAAGATAACTATAGAAGATGTACTTACGGAGATTCGAACATGCGACCTAGAACACAGAGAGAAATTACAAAGTAAAGTACTTGCCGCTCAGCTAACTGAGCTTGGTACTTGCTCTATATTTTGCCAGTCTATAGGTTTCGAAGTGAGAAAGACTAAATAAGAGCAGGAAAAGCATGACAGTAAATAATTTGCTTTACAGTACTCCTGCTTGAAATTTCGAGAAAAAACGTGTCTCTCAGAAACTTCTCTTTAAAACTGGTAAGTAAGAAAGAAAGAAAGAATAGCACGATCGATCCCGTACTCGAATGATTCTGGTTTACATCGTGTAGTCAGTCGATTATGACTATTACTTTCACTACTAACAAACTACGTTCGAACAAAAAACTTTCATGTGGTTTTTATTCGTTTTTCTCACAGAAAATAAAATATTAGCTGCGACTTGAGCATAAAAAAAGCTGAAAATTTCTTTAGCATGAGAAAATTTTTTCATAACGTTTAAAAGGTTGGTATGCATAAAATTGGGTTTCTTTTGTGATTTGCTATAAAAGAAAAAGATTTGAAGAGAGATCGATTTTTCTAGGATTTTCAGCTCTATCATTTCTTCTTTTTCATACCGTCTTCATAAAAAGAAGAAAGATCGGTCGGTATTTGCCAGGTTAGATTAAAATCTCAATTTATTTTTGGAGAACCTTAGGCGAAAAACAAACAATTAAAAAGAAGTAAAATGTGCAGTAGTTAAGATAAAAATGTTTCAAGTACATCTCTCAGTGTCATCCATGGCCGCATGCGTATTCTACCACATCCGAGACGTGCACCAGCGTGTCCAGTTGTTGATGAATCACTGTGGCCACCCATGCCTAAGTCATCTATATCTTTATGTATAATAATTGTACGATCAATAATCGATCGAGATCCTTTACCCAATTGAATTATTTTATCCTCGATAAGAATCCTTGCGTTACCATCATGATCAGCATAAACATTTCCTAAAAAACAACAATTTGTAAATGATTGAGAGTACGAGTAAAATAACCGTTACCTAAATCTCCGACGTGTCGTTGTTTTTTTGGTGAAACGAGTGCACCGTGTGTTCGGTTGAATGGATTAAAATGAGCACCGGCTGCTGTACAATTGGGTTTATTGTCATCGACTCTGGATTCGTGAACATGAAATCCATGATATGTTTGATTCGGAACTAAACCCGTTAATATTCCACGAATAATTACGGGACTTTTTGCAGATATTTGGATGAAGTACAGTGTGCCTATTTTTGTGCTACTTGAATCCAAATGAACACTGGCGCATGCATAAAGTGGATACGGCGATGAATAACCATATGAAGAAATTGAAACAACTAATAAGATAAAAAGTATGCTTAACATTGTCGATAGTTATCAAATACTAATCAATTGCAACAGTGTAGTGTATTTTGGTTGTTTTTCTTCGTGTTTATATAGGCAACAAAAAGAGATGTAATTTTCTTTTTGTATTTCATGACATCATCTGCATATATCATAAAGAAAAGGGTTATTTCACATAGAACGACTGTCATCTATTCTGCATTAGACCAGATGTTTGATCTTATCCTTTCTTTTAATGCTGAAAATATCTAATCTGAATCAGTTCTGCGTGTTAATATCATTCATTTTTTGGAGATTTTCCCTTCTCATTTAATTACTAGAAAGCGAACATCAATTGTAAAAAGTTCTATGTATGAGGTGCAAAGCCATCGTTGTCCATGCAGCGAACGTTGAGACTTGATTTCTAGATATAAATTACATATATTGTACTGTCTCTCCAAATGATATTTATTAGAAATTTAGAGTTTACCAATATTCTGCTCATTGCTGGTGCACTGTATCGAATACTGGACACTGCATACTTTCTAACACATAAAAGGAGTTCTTCTTAATTTTCACGGGTTCACAAATCAGTTTAGACTTTTACCTTGGTGAACTCGCTCTTGATAATGTAGCAATTTTCGAATTGTATTCGAATAAACAAGGGTTTTTATGAGTGTTTTTCCATTGGAACCATGTCAGGGGATTTCCGGAGAACTTTTCTTTTTTGATTTTTTCCAAACTCACCCGGTGATATGTAAACCGATCATGCTAATCACGAATATCACGAAAATGAGAAAATTAATTTTTGTATGTTGTACTTTTATCTGCTGGTTTTGGCCTAAACTGTCAAAATAAATCTTCTCAAGTGGTAACCATTTCAGAAAATTGAGTTTTAACAAAATTAATTTTTCCATTATCCCGAGCGCGAAGTTTTTGGTGAAACGTGATAATAACGGAAAACACATGAGATATATGTTATTCGCCTCTATTTTTCACGCACATTCCTAATATGACCTTCGCTTTTATCTGAAATGTTGGTTTAGTGGCGAAATTTAGGAAATACAACCGAAATCTGCTAAAAATCACTTTAATCGTGTTTTCTGCCCTGCTGTACAAGTGTTTCCTGTTCTAGAGAAACAGAAGAATTAATAAAAGTACTAATTAAAAATGGTTATCCTAATCACATCATTAGAAAAGGATTAAGAGAAGCAAAAGTGATACATTAGAGAATAACAGGAACACAACAACAACAAACAGTAGTTAAAAAGAAAGAAATATTTTTTATACTATCTTATTACGGGCAAGAATCCATGATTTTAGCACAACAAATCAAAAAATTATGTAAAAAATCATTACTACATGTAACTATAAATATTGCCTTCGAAAAATCATGCACATTGAAAAATATTTTTCTTCCATTGCAAAAAGGTATCAATGAAACTAAGAAAAGTAAGAAACTAGTCTATCGTGTCAGATGCAACAATTGTGATTCAGTACACACTGGAGAAACAAATCGAGAAAAAATGACTCGTATGAAAGAACACAAAAAGGATATAGTAAAAAGGAAACCTACCTCAGTCTTAGCTCAACACTCGATGGATGAGAACCATGAATTTGACTTTGATAACTCCGAAACATTAACTCTAGAAACAGACTGGAGAAGAAGAACTATCAAAGAAAGTTTGTTTACTCATCTAAGCTATGGCAAATTTATTAATGAAATCAAATATAAATTAAAAGTATTTGGATGAAGTCTATCGGCCGAAAAGAATGTTCAGTAGAACATATGATCGATCATATGAATAAAATCTACTTAATTACCTAATTTTTCTTTTTTGTTCTTTTATTGAATCAACTCTGGCGTCATTCGTTTATTCTGATGATGACGAGTGAACATCGTCGAAATATCAATAATAGCACTGTGATTTGTTTTAATCATGTTTGTAGCAGTTTTGTATTTCTTACTACGTGGCTATATCATACCTCTGTGTGTTAAAGT